CTCTAAAAATCAATGGAAAAAATATCCTCCAGTGAGGATTAACAACAACAACAACAACAAAAATAGAGAGGCTGAGACTGGACATTGTCAGCCTAGAACTCTGTCTCAGCCACTCTCTCAAGAGCTCTATTTGCATCCTGTCTTTGTCTCTGAGGGCCTAGAACTCCTTTGGTATGTCTGGTCTCCCTGGAAGGGGCAGGTAAACCATCCATCCATGCCCCCAAAGTCTGTCTGCCTTGATCTGCACCTCTTTACCTAATGGCACATCCTTGGTCCACCCTGGCTTGGGCTTCTCTCACAGTGATTTTCTAGCCCTGTAAAGGACATCCCTCTTAAGTCAACATGCTCTTTTAAAGTGGGGCCTAATTGAGGTGGGTCTTCTGAAAGGGGTGGTTGCATCAAGCCTTGTTCTTGAGCTTGGACATGGTATTGCTAGTCAGGCCTCATTTCTGTTCCCTCTCAGAGTAGACTGAAAAATATTAGACTAAGTTGAGGCTAATAAAGATGTTATTTTTCTTATTGAGATAGTGGTGATGCTGGTCCTGGTGTTAGGAAGTATGAAAAACGTCAGCTGTCCCCTGGCTGCTCTCCACCACCTTGAAGTCTCCCTTGTTCTTTAGACCAACATTTAATGACAACATCCCCAGCGTTAGCCACCATGCTAAGCCCTTACCCAGAAAATGGGCAAGACATGGTTCTTGTCTTTGAGGAAAAATGCTAGGGGAGAGAGACACATAAATAAATTATTGTTATACATTGTTGTAATGGTCCATAATAAGGATGTTTAAAAAGTGCCAGGAAACACAGAGGAGGGTGTGTCTTCTTGTGTGGGGTATAGTGGGAGTTGGAGGGAGGTCATTAGAGCCTGTATGGAGGGGATGATTTTTACACTTGGTCCTGAAGGGGGACCAGCAGAAAAGAGAATCGCAGAAGAAAAACTAGTGAGTAGAGGTGCAGAGCTGTGAGAGAAAACAGGTTAGTCCGGGAGCCAGAAATGGTTTGGAAGTGCTGAAGGATCGCTTGGGGGAGTGGGACTGGGATGGAAGGCATCCGGTTAGGAGGCCACTGGAAGAGGCGATGCAGTGCAGCGGTTAAGAGCACGGCCCCTGGGCCAGCCTGCCTGGGTGTGAGTTCCAGCCCCATGATTTACTAACTGGGCGTCCTCCGAGACTTACTTGTATTTTTGGGGCTTCCATTTCCTTATCTGAAAATGTGAAGAGTAGAACCCATCTCATAATTGTTGGGGTTTTTTTGTTTGTTTTTCTTGAGGGCTAAATGAATGAATACCTATATAATACCTAGAACCGTGTTTGTCTCATAGTCGGTTTTATGAGTGCTAGCAACAAAAACAAACAACTTCAACAACAAAACAAAAACAAAAGCAAAACAATCACAATAAAACCCACACAGAAACCAGCACCCCCAGAACTGATGAGGGATGAGCGAAGGCTGTGAGGGTGGAGCGAGAGGGCAGGCCGAAGGCGGGGTGTGCTGGTCGGTGTTCTGCTGAACAAGCGGGGTGCTCTGAGGCACAGGCTGGGCTGGAAATGGCATTTGAGCGGAAGCACTCGGTGCATCTGCCCACTTGCTCGTGGGCACACGGGACCCGAAGCGCTCCGTGTCTCCTCGCTCACCCGAGAGGCCCGTCAACTGCTCCCAGTGGGGAGAAAGCAAAGAGGGAATAGGCTGTGCTGTACAGCAGCTTAGACTCGTCCTTGAAACGGGGACCAGCAAGTTCACCATGGAAGCCATGACTTTGCAGTGTTTTTCAAACATCTTAGATCCACGTGGGAGCTCACTGAACAGGTGCCTGGTGACTGCCCCATACCTGGTGAAAATCTGTGGGTTGGCTTTATCCAGAGCACCCAGAGCACATCTGGAGGCTTGCTGGCTTCATGCACGTGCGTGCTGTGTGCATGTGTGTGTGGTGTGTGTGTACGATGCATATATATTAATTCACGTCTTCCTGTTGCATTTTAAGCACTGAGCTAAACCCAGCCTAAATATTTTTCTGAGAAACCTTTTCTCCTTCTGTAAAGGGAAACTCTGATTCCAAAGGGGCAGGGGGAGAGTCAGTGAGAATGAGATGGGAAATGGGAAGATATTCACGTTGTGACTCCAAATTCCAGGCCTGATCCTCGGGGTTGGAGTGAGCCTTTAGGCACAATTCTTCCTGGTTTCCTACTGCAAAGAGCAAAGTGGGGAGAGTGCTCTTCTTACTGTCCCCTGCAGTGAGCTAAGGGCAGGCGACCTTCCCCTCCATCAGATTTCCCTGGTGAAGGTGACTTCTTTGTCCACTGGCTGCTTTCCCAGGGAAGTTTTGTTGATCCTCTGAGAACATGTTACTATATGTGAATAGCTCCCCCAGAGGAGCTGATCGTGGAAGAACCCCTGCTCATTCCCTGACGGGCCTGCGGCAGCGTGCCCACACCTGGGCCTGACATCATTATCACGTGGGGAAAGAGCTAGAGCAGGGCCCTAGCTGGAGGTCAGCTTTCCTACTGCTCTGTGGGCTGCTCATGCTGGAGTCCCGAGCTCCACCAGGAGTCCCTCTGGGCTGCCGAGCAAGTGGATCTTCCAAGGGGCCCGTCGGTCTGCTCCACACAAGAGTTATAGGAATTGTACAGCCCCAACACCACAGTCAAGACCAGCATCGCTGCAGCCATCATCCAAATGACTTGCCAGTGCTGACACAGTTTGGGATACAGGACTTGTAAGAAGTGAACCAGTTCTTCAAGTTTGCTGTCAAATGAAAAAATAGGTGGAGGGTTTAGTATATTGAGCACATATATGATGCCCAGACCACCTTTCTCTGCCTGGAATACTTCCTGTGCTATCTAGGGTAGTGGTTCTCAAACTCAGTGGTGTATAGAGTCTCTCGGCAGCACTTATTCCCAGGCCTACTGAATAAGGGACGGATTTTAAGTAGCCAGCTGGAAGAGATGCATTTAACCTCATAAAGGCACCTGCAGTGGAGACAGCCCAAGTGATGGTTTGAATGTGTGTGATGCTGGGGTGGGAGGAGCAGTTTTCTCTGAAGGTCCCATGAAGCGCCATCCTGAATAGTCAGGACGTCAGCCTTAAACCCCTGCCAAGGCCTGGAGCCCAGTCACAATAATACCAGTCAAGTAACGCCTTTCCTACTCCTTAATCTAGATTCCCGTTCTCAGCATTAACCCCGGGGAGGTCAGACACTGCAACAGCAAGGCCAGGGTGGAGGGAAGGAGTGTAAGTAGGAGCCTGAGAGAGAAGCCATGCTCCCCATCCCCACTGCAGACTTCCTTCCTGAAGCAGGCCAGAGCTGGGGGAGGAAAGACACTTGAACTTCATAAGAAGTTCAAGCTTTTCAGTATTTCAGGGAACTGGCCATTTTAATTCCTGAAATGAGGTTACTCTTGGGACTTAAAGTTGACCAAAGGGACTTATGTTTTCTAAGAGTTATTGGAAAAGTAAAGGGATGTACCAAATATCATCTTAACTCCATAGAGCAGGTTTGAACAGGCCGTGGGAGAAAAGACGAAAGTTTTTTGCTGTACCTTATGATTCTTACTGGTTCAATGTATTACATAAATGTCAGAGGACTGTTCTCTGTTATTTTTTACCCTCATCAGAGGATATTTTTCTCATTGCTTTTCAGAGAGAGTGGGAGGGAGAGAGAGAGAGAAAGGAGAGAGGGAGAGAAATATTGATGTGAAAGAGATACATTGATTGGTTGCCTCTGCACAAGCCCCTGCAGGGCGAGGCATGTGCCCTCGGCCAGAATCGAATCTGGGCCCTTCGGTCCATGGGCTGGTGCTCTAACCACTGAGCGAAACCGGCCAGGGCTGTTCTCTGTTTTAATATGGTTAAGATATTGGGTTGATTCACCAAAGTTTATTTAAGCTGATCTTCCAGAAAGTAATATTTACAACATATTACATTATTACATATTATTAAACAAGGAGAAATTCAAACAATACTTTAGTGTTTGTTGTTGAATCTCTGAAATAAGGGGTCAGCTGTGGGGTGACCCCAATGTTTTTGTGTTTTGTTTTGAAATTCACTACATAGGACATGGAACTTTTAATGACTTCGGACCTTGCTTGTTGGTGAGATGGCAAAATTTTATGGGGGAATCATGTCTGAATGCAGGTGCCTACAGGCAACTGTGTGTGTGAGGGACTCAGAGGTGAATGCATTGCTTGGCATTGAAGACGACAGCTCTCAGGGCTAGTCTGCCTGAGTCACAGTTGAGGAAGGGAGCCTGTAACTTTGAGTGGGCAGTTTATATGACAGCAGTGTTGTCATGTTGGGCCCAAAAAGGTGAAGCTACACCACTGTGCTGAAGGACAAGGACCCTTCTGAGGGCTGTGCTGATGTCTGGTTTCCATCACCTGTGGTATAGGCATGTACTCAAGACCAAATGTAAATCTGAAAGGGAGCCAATGTGGGAGAGAAAACAAGGCCTCTTAGGATAGGTAGGACCAAGAGGACATCCTCAGACAATGGATGCAAAGGGTGGTCATTTCCTTAAACTGCTGACCGGGAACTGTACAGAGAGGGGCCCAGGCACAGCCTTAATTTCCCTGGGGTTTCATGAAATGGGAGGGAGCCGCCAATCTTCTGAGATCAAGTTAGCTAGATAAGGATTCCAGCCCTGTGCCTTGTAAACCAGACTGTTTATATTCCATGTACTCTCTGTTTGGTTCTCTTTTGTTCTTCCTCGGTGTTTGGAAATGTTAGAAGTTCCAGCCTGTGTTAGCTATATTGAAGGGAGCCAAAGGAAGAACAGTTGTCCAGCCTGGGCTTGTTGCATTAAAGGGGAGGAAAGCATCGTGGTGGTCTGCAAAATAAGAGCAGACAACTCCGAGAGAGAGAAGACATAAGGAGAACAGGATCCAGCTGCTTGGAGTAGGGGCTGTGCTTTCACTGTTGAAACTTGGGGGTTCTTTCATTCGGAGGGGCAGTGCATCCTAGCACAGGTTGTTTACACTGGTGAAGCATTTTCTCCAGCTCTGCTAGACAGCTCTTCCCTTGAACATTGGGGTTAACTCCTGCAGGCCCAGACCTTTCACTCTGGCTGAATCTTCTACCAACTGCTCTCCATCGGGTGTTCCTCTGTGCTTTGAAGCACTTCTATCTTACGTCTAATCTTCATTTTATTACCTTATTTGTTACATGCATGTGATTTCCAGAGTCTGCCAGCGATGAAGCATAGACACATACCCTGTCCCAAGTTTAGCGGCTAATTAGATAATCATTTTGGCTAGAGCCATTTTTGACCCTAGGATAGCCTGGGGGTCTAAAAATAAAGATTTTGGTGAAGTGTTCCAAGTTTGTTGTAACCATATTTTTAAACATCAAAATTCAAGACTTCTGGTTTGAATGTACTAATAGAGACAGTAGGGTAGATTATATGAAATTGGGGCTATCATTAAAATCCAGAATGTAGGTAGGACAAGATTCAGGATCTATACTATCTTTATCTACATGTTACATATATTTTCCAGATTTAGAGAAATATACTCTTGAAATATAAAGTGTATTTTAAAAACCCCAAGTATTTCCAATCCAAAGCAAAACCAATGTCCAGATGACTGAGCCTGTTTGATCAGCATGGAATGGACCTGTTGGAAACTCACCTTTGCCACCAAGCTGAGTTTGTCCCTTATACCCATCTATTCTCTCTGCCTCTGTTCTTGTAAGAAACCCCCTCTAGGGCTTCAGGCCAGCTCCCTTGACCTTGGATCACTTGTGGGGATGGCTGGAAAAGGAGCTAACAGTGGCTGGGCTAGGAGAGACTCCAGTCAGGGTTCCTCACAGTTGGTTTCTCAGCTCCTAATTACAGCCTCCCCAACACCTCTGACCTCTCAGCTCTTGCAAACATCCCCTTGTTAACTATTTTGGCTCTTTGGAATTTCCTCTGTCTCCTCCCCCAACATGAGTGCCCTCTTGGTTTCTGTTGGCTGATCCTTTGGGCCCTAGACCCACTGATGCCCTGGATTGGCCCCTCCAGAGCTGTTGTGCAGTTAATGAATTGTGACCGATTTTAGGAATGACCGGGGCTCCAACCTGCTTCCCGGACCCTTTTCCTCTTCCTCAGTTTCTTCGGCCCCTTCAGGATCCTCGGGACCCTCGTTCTTCTGTTCTTCCTCATCGTCTTTTAGGCCTTGAAGCTCTTTGGTTTTCTTTAGATCTTCCTGGTATCTGGAAGGCAAAAAAGAACATTTGAGTCTGGAAAGGCCAGGCACAGAGAATCCTTTCCTGAGGCCCGAGAGGAGAGGACTTGAGCACCTCCAATAACTACGCACTTCCTGTGGTTCCACACAACAGGAAAAAGCTGGGAAGCTCCACTGAATCCCATGGCTCATGTCAGTACAATTTCCCTTCAGTCTCCAGTCATCCTTCCTGTTTGTGAAAGTGTGACAAACTGACAGGGAAAAATGTGACCAGGTTCCTGTCCTACCAGACATTTAGGGGGGCTAAGATTGCATTTGTTTTCTGTGTAAGCTTGGAGCTTCAGCTCCTCACCTGTAAAATGGAGAGGGTGCCATTCATCTCACAGGGTGTTGGAATGTTCTCAGGAAGTGCCAGGCATAGGGCTTGATCTAGGGAGGGTGACACCTGTCACACAGGCTTGTTGGGAAGTTTTATCAAAGTGACAGGCACACAGCTTGTCTTAGAGAGGTGCTCAGCAAATGTTTACAAAGCCAATGGAGACATTTACCCTCACACATTCTGAGTACAGAGGACAACTATGGGTTAAAAAGCAGGCTTCCTAAGAGAAATCCTTCTGATTTCCTTCTCCCATGATCAATATAATGCTGAAGAATATACACTTTCTGCTTGTCCTACAGCTGAGTGTTTAAGGCCTCCACAGTTTGGCTGGGGCAGCCCCAGCATGGTGTGTGTGGCTGCCACACAGAAGCCCACAGGTTTCACACCAGGAGCCACAGGAAAAGCAGCTCGGGATGTGATGCCTAGTCAGAGGTAGTTCTCTGCCTGGCTGGGTTTGGGCCTGATCAGCACTCTGTCCCATCCGTGACTGACAAGTCAGAGATGCTATTGAAGCTCAGTTGGAGAAGGGGCCAGTTGGAAGTCAAGGGAACTCCAGTTTACAGGAGGAAGGAAAGGCTGAGGCAGTTGTAAGAAGCAGAGTTGTGGCTGCTTCTGGGCGATTTTGGCAGCAACATGACTGCTCTGGGTTCTCAGGAAGCCTCAGGCACCATCAAGAGGAACCCACCCAGAGCCCTTGATTTTCAGATCATTCTGGGCAGTGACTTTCTGGTGGCTTTTTGCCTAAAAAGAGGGCAGTCTTGTTATTGTCTGACCACACCTTCTTGCCCTGCTTCCTCCTGTCCTTCCTGTGGAACAGTGCTGCTCTTTCCTATGTGGCTCCTTACTGAGGCGAGGAGGTCCTGGGGCCAATGGTTGCTTCCCTAAATCCTCAAAGAGACAGGAAAAGCCTGTGGGAAGGTATCTTCTGAGACTTGCCAGGTGACCTCAGAGTGGATGAAGTCTGACTCACCTCTTATTGTACGTTCCTTCTTCCATCTTGGCCTTTGTCTCCTGGCTAATCTCCTCCGGGCAGCTCGGAGTTGGCGTGGGAGCAGAGGCTTCACAATCTGGGTCCCCATTTGTTTTTCCACTAGTGAGAAGAGGGAAGTACAGGGCGTCCTTTCAGGGACAGATTGGGCTTCTGAAAACCAAACCACGTCTTTGGCCTGATTCCTGATCAGAAGTGAGGAAACTCATTGGATTGAGTTAATTTCAATCCTTCTACCCTGAGACAAGATTTATGAAGGCCCTGGACCATGAATCCTCCATAGACCACCAAACATCAAATACTTCACCAGTTCCCCTTTTTCCTCATGTTCCCAAATTCTACCTTTATTCTTAATCCAGGAGATACTGTGTGGGTGGACAAACAGCTATTGGGAGCTTGACAGCACCAAGATGAGAAAGATGGAGGCAGACCGAAACGTTCAATGCCATTCCATTCCTGTGTCTATCTTTTGTTTCATTCATGTAAATACCTACTGAGTACTGGAATCACAGGCATCTTGTAATGTGCTGGGATACATCAGAAAATAAATGGTCTTTGCCAACACAGAGATTAGAAGGAAAAAAACATAAACAAAGGGAAAGAAAAAATATATAATTCATTGCAAGTTGTGATAACTTTTGTGATAGAAACAAACTCTACAGTGACAGAAAATAATGAGAGAATCTGCTTAGACTGAGTGGTCAGAAAAGGCCTGAGGTGGTATAACTGAAGCACAAACTTAAACGACGAGAAGTCAGCTAGTTATAATTATAACAGAAGGAAGATCAGTCTAGGTAGAGGATGCAGGATGTATGAAGATCCCAGATGTGGAAATGTTTGAGGAACTTAAAGGAGGCGGTGAGGCAGGAGTTAACTTTTGGACTGGAGGCATCTAAGTGGAGATATCAAGTAGGTAGTTGGATATACCAAAGGCTGAGGAAATTCATTTGGTATCATCATAATATAGATGATATTTAAAGCGAAGGGAACGGGTGTGGTTACCTAGGGAGACAGTATAAAGAAAGATGAGAAGAGGACCCAAGACCAAGTGATGGGCGTCTCTGCCCTTAGCTCAGGTGGACAAGCAGTGACAAAGGAGACTGATAAGCAGCAGCCAGAGAGGTAGGAGAAAAATCAGGAGAGCATGGAGTCCTGGGAGCCAAGAGAGGCGAGCATGCCAAGGAGGGAGAGTTGTGTGTCATACACACACTTCTGAGAGTCTGAGTTATATAAGTGGCTCTTAGATTTGATAATATGAAGGTCAAGAGGAGCTTTGATGAAATGGCAGAAGCCAAAGACAGATTGAATGGGCTTAGGAAAGAGTGGGAGGTGAGAAAGGGGAAGACATAGACACAATGATGTGACTGGGAAAGGGAGTGGAAGAGTGTTGGGGGGATGCATAGCTGAAGAAGTGGGCTAAGGGATGGGAGCACATTGAAATGCAGATGGAGACGGTCCAGGAGAGGGGATGAAAGAAAGAAGAAAACCAAAGGAACAAATTCTTTGAAAAGGGCAGCAGAGGCAGATGTTGGAAAGATTGAGGAGCTTCTCCTTGGCTGTAACAGAGAGGGTAATAGGTTGTAGGTTGGGGACCTGGTGAAGGAAGATGAGAGGGCTACTATCTGATAGCTTAAATTTACTATAAAGTAAAAGACAAGGTCATCTATTGAGAGTGAGAGGTAGAGAGGCCTACGGAGGTTTGAGGGAAGAGAAGAGGCATGAAAGAATCATGTGAGAGAGGGGGTGGTAAACAAAAATGTTAGAAAATCAAAGTAGGATGGCTGGGCAGTGCTGGGAGCCATTTGAGGTATGAGACCACAGGCTTAAAGGAAGTAGCCTGATGCCTGTGCCTTCCCTACAGACCCTGCAGCCCTCCTAGGGAGCCAGAATCCCAGTGGGAGTCGTGTCAAGAGGGAGCCCTCAAATCAGGCAGAAGAGTGAGCAGAGCTTTTCAGCAGGATTCTGAAAGATTACAGCTGCCACCCTCTCCAACCCCTCAGGCAGGCTTTATGCATGAGACATATCTTCTCCTCCTTCTTGGCATCAGTTTCTCATCCCTTAGTTTTCCTCAGACATTTTAAAATTTACATTTCATCAGGCTGGAAACCAAAACCCATTGTGAACAAGAAAAATAATACTCTAAAAATATCAGCTATTCATAACATTTCTCCTTTTGCAAATTACATTATCCACTCCCTCCCATGTGACCTTTGCCTAATGTGCAGTTTCCCATTTGTCCAAACAACTGGAACAAGAGCAGAAAAAACATAGCTATAGCCAAAGGCAGGGAAAGTAATTCCTTTATTAAATATATTTATATATTAGAGATAAAGCATTCATATCAGACTTTTTATTTCTTTTATCTTCAGCTGTCAACCTTAGAGGTTAATGATAAACATGTCTGTAGTGTCGAGAAGAACCTGCCTGAGGCAAACACGGGTTCATATCCCAGCTCCAAAATGTGCAAAGTACTTAACTACCCTGACCTTCAGATTCCTCAGCTGTCAAATGAAGATAATAACATATACCTGAAGGTGGTAGTATAAGAATTAATGAAGAAATAGAAGTAAACTTTCTGTGATATGGTACTTAACAAATTATATTGTTTATTGTTAGTTATGCAGTAAATTTATTGGTAGATTTTGGGAGCAATTTGATGTTCTTCCAAACCTGATCCATAAAAAAATCCAAGCTGATAAATTCCCAGGTGATTATTTATATCTTTAAGAGAGAACTTGACATAGATTACTCTGCCACTTCAGAATCAGGAGAACCCTAAATGTGACTTTAAAGTATGGTAAAATTGACATAAAATTGCTTTAATAAATTTTTCAAATGTGTGTACATTGTGCCATAACACACTCATGCACCTTCAAGGTTTACCAACCAAGTGATGAGAAGCAAAACTTTCACTGTCCTCAGGTCAATGTCTATAGAGACTGAAACTTTTCCCTGGTAGAGCCAGCAAGCGCATTTCAACAACTTTTTAACATGTGGATCTTCTGTTCAGGGTCCCGATCGTCCAGGTTGACTCGATTGCCCTGTTGAACTCCATTCACCTATGGGGCCTTAGTTTCTAACCCGCTTTCACATACCTTCTCTCACCTGACCCTCCCAATGGTAAGAAGAACTAACATTTATCCTATGTATCAGGCTCTGTGCTGACATCTCACTTAAAACAGTGACCCAATAAGATAAGTAATACTATTGTTCTCGGTTTGACAGGCAAGAAAACCAAGACTCAATGAGGTTAAATAACCAGCCCAAGGTCAGTGTTTGATAGACCTCGAACCTGATCCTATGCAGTCTGACATTTGCCCATTCTCTTGACTGCACTATATGCAACCCTGTGGGGGATTAACCCATTTGAAAGATGAAAAACATGCTCAGGTTGAGTAAGTGACTTGCCTAAGTTCACATTATTGGTGGTTGGTGGACCTGGCTGGGACTCCTTGGTCTTCTAACTTCGTGTCAAAGTACACTTTCCATATCTCCCTGAGACTTGTTTCAACAGAAGTCTTTTCCTGGGGCTCTGAGCAGTGTGAGGGGTTCAAGGGAACTTGCCAAGTGGGCCATGACTGCTCTTAGGCTGGGCTATGGCATATGATGTGGTCCTTCTTTTAAAGGTTGCTTGTTTAGAGTGAGAGATGGGCAAGGAGAACCTTTGGTTTAATACTGGAGGTGGGATGAGAAGTAGGGGAAACACACAATGTGTGACCTCTAGACTGAGCTTAGAGTTCCTGAAATATCTTCTCCAACAACCTGTAAGTTTTTCCTGTGTATCTTTAAGACAGCTTAAATACCTTCTCTTCTGTGGAATCTTTGCCAATGTTTTCCCCTCTCCCACGCCCTGTGGTTAAAGTTGACGTCTCCCTCCCTTTGTGCCCTCATTACACCTCTGTTACAGCATAACTTGGAGATAGGATATTTTTCTGTTTTATGTACATGCCCATCCCTCCCTGTGGCCGTGGTTGCAGGGAGAGAGACTGTGTTTGAGTTGGAGTGGTGCTTGGCTCAGTAGGTGCCTTTAAGTGTGTGCTGAGTTACATTGAGGAGTATGGGAAGTGAGGCAAGGGAAAGAGGAGCAGCAGCAGCGGGTTCTTGATGGCCCTCACTGCCTCAGGTAGAAGTTCTCAGCTGGCCTGAACATTAGCCCTACAGGGTCCAGGCCTTGCCCCATCATGATTAGTCTCTTGAGGAGAGTGGGGACAGACATCTCCTGCCCTTATTAGCTCTGCAGGCCAAGAGTTGGAAACAGGGCCATGTTGGGGACCCTCCTGGAGAGGGGGTTGGTGCTTTTAAAGGCAGGATTGGGAGGGAGAATTATAGTGAGCTTCTCACTCAGGGCATAGTGACTATTTCTGGAGAGATTCAGAGACCAGGGACTAGACACTATGACTCTAGGGACCTGGTAAGATTCTGTAACCTTGGTTACGTCCACATGGTTGTTAGTTTGTCATTCCTTTATAATTTCCTTATAGCAAGCAGAAAAACAGGGATACAAATAAACAAAAATACCCTATATAACATCAAGGACCTGTAAGATAGCAAAAAGAGGAAATTCTGGGAAAACTTCAAGACTAGTGCAGGGTGAGTTACTGAGGGACAGGTTTGTGGTTGATATATTGAGAGAGGAGGAAAACAGGCTAAGTCTGGGGGTGAGGAGCTTGGGAGCTTGTCTGTACTGAAAAGGGGCCCAGCATAGACATTTCTTACCAGGCCAAGCAAACTATTCTAACAGCAATGAAAAATAAAGGACTGAAGTTGTCTCAAGGCAAGGAAGAAGGAAGAATAAAGGTGTGTGTTCTACCACGTGAGGAAAGACACAAGGGGAATGTTCTGAGAGGTGGCAGCTGTGGTCCAGATGTTTCCCAGCAAGCAAATGAGCGAATTAGAGAAGCAAGTGGTAACCTTGTGTGGAAACAGCCTGCCTTGCTTTGGCTGAGGGTGAGAAGACCCACAGGTTGCACAGATGCCTAGAAAATCAGGCATAGTCCACGCTGTCGGTCGCCCATCCGAGACTCCTCTCCTTCCTACATCCTAACAGCAATGTGATTTTGTTTAACAATTTATTCTTCTTTGTGAAGCCATTTTGCTTCATGGGAAGCTGGCCCTCTCTTTCCATCCCCTGGGGATAGTTTAAGAAATGATGACAATCCCATTCCCAAAGCCTGTGATTGGCTTAGAAAAAGACCAAATCTGTCAACAAGATGAGAAGGAAGACTGAAGAAAGGCCTCTGGGTTCATTCCTAAGAAACATGGGAAAAGGCGGTCCTTTTTCCTGTAGATATTGTCATGTCTGGATAGGATACCTGGGACCAGCGGCCATTTGCCACAAGCCTGCTAATGAAGTCAACAGATAAAGTGGAAAGAGGCCCGGGACTTGTGGAGAGGCTGAGCTGGGCCTGCTGCATCACACCCGGAGCAGCCCCTCCTCTGGACTTAGTTAAGCCCCTTTGAGCTGGGGTGTTCCTGTATCTGTCTGTAGCCCAAGGAGTCCCGACCAACAGAGAAGGCTTCCATCTCCAGTGGGCTCTTCTTAGATCGTGGTACCCTTGACCTAAGCCACGGCATCGTGCTGGTCTAGGAATTTTGCAAACTGGGTGTGAAATCTTTGTGGGTCTCAGAGTCCCACTTATTTCTCCTAGAACTTAATTTGCTTTCTATTGCATTTTGGGGGTGAGGATGGCAGGAAAGCTGAGTTGGGGAAATTTTTCTCAGAGGTACCCGAAGTTCAGAGGAAAACTGACAAACTTACTTTTCCAAAAGTGCAGGCAGTGCTGAGGTGGTGACAGGTAGATTGCCTTTTCCATTAGGTGATTCTGACTGAATGGAAAACAGGAGACAGAGAATTGGGGATTAGTGGGGAAGGAAGAGGCCGGAGCTGCTGGGTGTCTGATGATGCTGGGGGTAGAGGAGCTGCTGCTGCTCCTCTTTCCCTTTCCTCACTCCACACGCTTTCTAATCGTCATTTAAGACCAGGCATTGGCCCAGTCCTCAGGCTTCCTCTGTCCTGCTTCCCTCGGTGTTCTTGCACTCTGGGGCACATGCAATTTGCAACTTTTACTTTTCCTCTTCAAGTTTTGTTGAGCGAAGAGTTTACATTTAAGGCTATCTTCTGGAGGAGAGCCATCCTTTTTTCTCTGTCTCTGGATTAAATATCATTGAGTCTCCTACCAAACACAGCCCCAAGGGCCCCTGGGATAGATACATGCAAGCCCATCACTGCCCAGGAGATACAGCTCCATGCCCCATTCTCAGGAGATGCCTGTCTTTACTAAAAGATCAAGCCATCATAAACTTATAATAAATACCCCAGGACTATCACATTGTTTTGTGTAATGGATTTGGTTTAAACAATGGTTCTCAACTCTGGCTGCGCATTCAAATCACTTGGGGGAGATTTCTGAAAGTACTAAATCAGTCCAGAATCTTGGGGTGGGCCCAGGCATGGAATGTTTAAAAAGTATTCCACGTCATTTGAATGTATAGCCCTGGTTGTCAACTCCTAGCCTAAAGAAATATATATGTATATTTGGAAACTACATTTATACATTTAGTATAGTATGGGCAATAGGTTCTTTAAAACATGCTAACTGGCCCTCCCTAAGCTCCTTTAAAAATTTTTGTTTTAGGCTCCTTTGTTTTAGTGGGTGATTTGGGAGTTTATGCTGATTTCAAAGATGGTTGAAATGTTCAAGGCAGGAAGAGGTGAAAGAAGTTTAAAAGTTACTGCTACCTATTGCCACAATAGAGCTTAAATCTGCTTTACCTATTGCTTAAGATCAGATTATTTCCTTATAGAGTCATGGACGGGGGCATGAAGGAACAACTGAAGAAAGAATTACAAGTTTTAGATAGGATTAAGTAGATTCACAAGGACTTGGGATCTGGAAAATATTTTGTTATATAGGAACTATCTTTGTTTAAAAAAATTGAAATGGATTTTCTTCTGATTATAATACATCCTTATTATAGAAATATAAAAAGGCATCAAGAAGATAAAAATCACCTGTGGTTTTACCATTGCCCATAGATAATCATTATTAATAGTTTTACATATATGCTTCCAGAATTTTCTGTTTACACATAGAAAAACACTTTCTAAAAAACCACAAAACAGAAGTATACTGTATATACTGTTTTAAATAGCTTTTTACTAATAATTATGAAAAAATTTTCATGTCAATAAATACAGGGTGGGTCAAAAGTAGATTTGCAGTTGTGAGTATGTGAAACAGAGCCTATTTTTACATTATTGTTTATTAATTATTGTATCATTTTCCATATGAACAACTGTAAACATACTTTTTCCCCACCCTATATTTACATTCTAATAATTATTTTTAGCAACTGCATAGAAACCTCTTATAGGGATGTCCATAATGTACTTAACCAATCTCTTATTAATGGACATTTGAGCAGTCTCCAGTTTTTCATTGTTGTAAACACTGTTGTAGTGAATCGAGGCAGGATAACATTGAGCTTAAGAATTCAAGCTCTGGAATCAGAGAGCCTATGGTTCAAAGCTCAGTTCCACCACTATACAATGCAGCTCAGCTGTTTGAGCCCATTGCAGAGCGAGACAAAATTGTACCCACCTTGGAGGGCTGTGATTTACGCATGAAAAAGGATACCACTTGTAAGGAACACTCCCTGAGCCGCCAGCACCTTGCTCAATTATACTGTATTCTTCTCAGGGCAGTGGAAGACCTGGAGCCTGGTCTATACTGGGCTTTTAAAACCCACAGCGCAGAACCCATGCTGAGAATGTCCTCACTTTATTGACCTTGCCCACATCTAGGTCACCCACATGTCAGTGAGCCTGAGGAAGAGGTCAAATAGGGCCAGCAGGCGAGCATGACCATACTTACCAGGGCTGGTAAGGAGGGGATGGGTGATGAGCTTGGGGGCTGACTGGGCAGGCTCAGGGCATTAAACTTGGGAACCACAGCAACGCTCACCCTCCGGCGGGGCATGTTCTGTAGAAAGAAAAGTGACCAGGCCCACTGTCATCGAGGGAGCAGCACCCACAGTTCAGAAAGGCCCTGAATATACCTAGTCATTCCTAATGCTGTCATAACATTCACTGGAGAGTTTGGTTTTGGGGTAATGATGGTAGTGGGAGTTGGTGTGGAGAGAGTAACCAAAGTTGACACAGATTTTCTGTTAGTGGTGAGTGATGTCTGAACATGTTTCTATTTTAGCTTATTAAATCCTGAAGAAATGAAACAGAAATGACCTCCAGTCTCTGGGTAACATCCTGGATAGTGTATGAAAGTTCTAGCAATATCAAGGTTTATGCATCATTTCATGTTCATTTAAGGGATGGTACAGTCAGGAAAACCATGAGCAAGAGAAGCCTGGAGGGTGAGCTAGCAGGTGTGGGGAGCTGAATTAGAGACTCTGTCCAGAGGTTCTCTGCCACCCATGGATCCAAGAATGAATGATCTCCTGGGTGACTGTGGAAACTTCTGTAGTACTTCCTCCAGGAGCCCTGGCATTCCTTGAACATGCATACCTTTCCCAGAGAGAGGGACATGGACCGCGCTGTGCGAGGGACCCCGTCTTCTGCAACAGGAGGGAACAGAGGAGAGAACTCAGGTAAGTTTTCAGGGTAGGCTCCAGCAGGAAACAGATAGTCAGAAACTAAGCCAGGGTGTGTATGGGTCAGAGGCCCCGTGTCACGCTCTCCTCAGATTCTCTGCATATTGCATCATCACTTCTGTCATGGAATGTACTTTTGGGGCACGCACTTTTCCTATGAGGAAGAGGAAAATATTTTTTTCCTACTAGAGCCCAGGGCAAAACAGACAAACTTCCTTGATTTCTTTCTCTACTGGTTGGTGATTGTTTTTTTTTTTTTTCTTCTGGCCCAAGTTCTGTCTAAAGATGCAGACCTTGGAAAGTGTTCACTTTCTATGGGAGGCTTAAATGACAACTCTCTGCCGTGGGTGTCAGGGCCTCATCTCAGATTGTGCGCAAGTGCAAAGCCCAGCACCCAGATAACTGAGGTGGACTTTTGTCGCAAGGAAGCTGCGGGATCAGCTTGGTTTCAGTTCTCTTTTCTTTTCTTGTATCTGAGTACTTCAATTTCTTTTCTTGTAGATTCAGCTATTCTTTTAGACTAATGTTTGCTTTATTTTATCCAGCAAAATGTACTTGTGGTCAAAGGGTTTTCAAGTTTCCTAGTCAGCCAAAATAGCAGAACCAGAAAATATTCTTTATATATGAAGAGTTCATACAAATTAATAAAATTCCAATCTTACAAGTGAGCAAAAGATATAATTAGAGAATTTATGAAAGTGGAAATACAAATGTCCGAGGAACGTTCGAAAAGGTAAAAAAATACAAATTAAAACTACGAGATGAGATACAATTTTGACCCATCAAAGGCAAAGATACTTTTAAAAAGGAACGCCAAAGTGTCAATGGCACAATGAATTGAGCATTATTATAACCCATTAAATGGAAATATCCCTGGGTTATTTTAAAATAATTTGCTTTAAGAGCCTTATGTCTTTCCTTAGTATTTACACTTCTAGAATCTATCTTAAGGAAAAAATCCAAAATGCAGGCAGTTAGCATGTCTCATATTTAGAAAAAAATTGGTGTTATTTTTTTCTTTTAAATGTGTATCACTTTTCTTGAAATCAGAGGTATTTTTATTTCACTATAGTCTTCAGAGCCTCAGGCAAAGACAAAGATTGCCAGAAGTCATGTAAAGGCTTAAAAAACAAACACTGTATATTAGGGAGTGTCCGGTGGACACACCTGGTGGGTGGGTGCTGGCCCCTGCGCACCAGCTAAGCTGAGGTATAGCTTGGGTCACGGTGGCGTGGGAACATGTATCTGATACCCTTACTCACCATTCAAGGCTCAGCTGCCGTCTCCCTTCTTATTATGAGCACTTTCTCACTCCCTCAGACTGAAGGGGGGGCTGTGCAGTGTGCTCCCCACGGAAGTCTGCTTGCTTCTGTCACAGCTCTGGCTGCCCTGCCCTGCCCTCCCCACGGTGTGGGAGCTCCTTGGGGTCAGGGGCCGTGTGCCCTTTACCTCCACACTCCAGGGTCACGTGGGCACCCCAGAGGCAGAATGAACGGGTAACTGCTCCTTTCATAAACCTTGGCTAAGGTGGTTCACAGGGGACACTGCACCTTGCAGGGCAACAGTGTGAGAGCCATGTATTAGGGTTTCTTGGATGGCAGCTTCCCCAGCTTCCAACACTGACAGAGAGCGATTTGTTAGAGGCCCAGGTGCATGTGGGTCAGGAACCTCGCTGCCAAGATCCAGAGCAGACAGTCTGGGGCTGGGAAGCGTCAGTGATATTCCCCAGGAAACTTGTGAAACCTCCTGTTTATAAAGGTTTCTCCATCTGTTATAGTTTCTGTACTTTCCCTCCTCCCGCTCTTGGTAACAAGGATGTTTGCATTCCACGGGGATTCCTGTCGCTAAAATGTCTGTTTTCTCCCGCTAACACCACCCTCATCAGTCAGAGCCTAGCCCCTGGCAGCTCCCAAGGAGATTTCTTGTTCCAAGGCGCGGTCCTCCTCCTCCTGGACTGCCTCGAACCCATCTCTCCACGCCTCAACGTCCACACTGCCCTCACGCATTGCCCACTCTGAAGTCAGACGAATCTTCTAAAAATACAACCTGACCATGTCAGGTGATGTCAACTCACCAGGGACTCCTCATTGCCTATGGGACAAAGGCCTGGCATGTGGCTTAGACTACAAAGTCTCACCTTCAACCTGTCATTATCAGACCTCAACACTGCAATCCCGCAACTCTGTACCATGCTAACTCGACCTGACGCATTTCTCCCTTTTGCCTGAAGAATTCCTACTTTTACTTTAAAATAATGCCCAGACACCAGCCCTCTGTAACACTTTCCTTGACTTCCTCATGTAAGAGGCAGCCCTCCCCCCCCGCCCCATGCTCCTATAACAATTTTATAGAACATTTTTAAAAAGAGAGTATTTCTTTAAAACATTTGTCTTGCCCACGAGTCTGCTATTTATCTCAGCAATATCTCTCTTAGCCGGGCTCTCACTCCCCCTCCCCTGCCCAGACTTCATCTTTCACCTGCACTGTTGTAATAGCAGCTTCGTGGGATTCCCTGTCTCTGGCTTTGCCCCAGGAACGTACTGGCCTTACCATAGTCAGAGGAACCTTCTAAACTCTGTATATGATCATGTCATTTCCCTAACTAAAATCTTTGGTTGGATCCCTAATGTTTCTCCAGGAGAAAGTTCAAATCCCTTAGTATGTGTTGCCTAGAAAGGGGCCCCAAAGCACAAAGGGGCTGGGGTCTGTCATTTCACTAAGTAGAGTGAGCTCTGGCAGCCTGTGACTTCGTGTCAGTAGTCAGCTGCTCTGGTTAACTGTGTCCGCAGTCAGGAGTCGCTTTGGGGCCATTCGTGTTTTCTGTTTCCAGGCCCCAGGCTCACTGGAGCAGCTGCTGCAAAGCCCTTGTAGGCAGCACTTGCTCTACCTGAAACAGGTCCTGGGGCAGCCCTGATAGGTGCGATCCCAACCTAGATATATCAGGGACTCACCCTGCAGGCCCAAGACGAGGGCAGGACCCGGGTTCCTTACCAGAGGGGCCGCAGCTGCGGCTTGAATTCTGATTCGCCAGTTTTTTAAATTCCATGAGCTCCGCATGGTCCTTCTCATATGTCCTCTTCAGGTTCTCCACGTATTGCATCATCACCTCTGTTGCCTTGGACATGCGCTTTTCCTGCAGGGAACGGGGCATGAACACACGGGCATTTGAGGAAAGGCTGGGCTGGGAGAATCAGAGGGATACAGGGACCAATTCGACATGACCCTGCTCTCGAAGAGTTTGCTGCTCACTCTGCGAGCCGAGAGAGGGTCTCGGCACGTGCCCTGGGAGAACCAGGACAAGCACAGCCATGATGCCTCAGGGGTGACGGGTGCAAGAGCAGGGGAATGGGCCAGGGAGACTTCATGGAGACCGAGTGAAGGAGCTGGAGGGTGTTGGCAGTGTCTGGGCATTTGACATGGACAGAAGGGGTGAAGAGCATTCAGGCCAGGGACCCCCAAGAGCAAGGGTCCAGAGACAGGAAATCATAGGCCTTGTATCCAGGTAAAGAACTTATCCTCCAAACAGGACTCGCTTGCAGAGCGAAAGGGAGGGAGTGCTCTTAAGAATTATGCCAGGAGTCTGGCTGGGTGGCTCAGCTGGTTGGAGTGTCATCCCACACACCAAAAGGTTGCGGATTTGATGCCTCGTCAGGGCACATATCTAGGCTACAGATTCGATCCTCAGTTCGGGCGCATATGGGAGGCAACCAATTGATGTTTCTCTCTCACATCGATGTTTCTTCTCTCCCTCTCTCCCTTCCTCTCTCTCTCTCAAATCAATAAAAGCATATCCTCGAGTGAGAAANTAACCGATTGATGTTTCTCTCTCACGTCGATGTTTCTTCTCTCCCTCTCTCCCTTCCTCTCTCTCTCTCAAATCAATAAAAGCATATCCTTGAGTGAGAAAAAGAATTATGCTGGNATAAAAGCATATCCTCGAGTGAGAAAAAGAATTATGCTGGGATCAAAGACCTAACTATAAGACCTAAAACAATAAAATACATAGAAGAAAACATGTGTACTAAACTTATGGACCTTGGGGTCTTAGAGAGGATTTTATGAATTTGATCCAAGAGGCAAGGGAAGTAAAAGCAAAAATAATAAATAAATGGGACTATATCAAACTAAAAAGCTTCTGCACAGCAAAAGGGACCACCAACAAAGCAAAAAGGCAACCAACCAAACACAAGAAGATATTTACAAATGATACCTCTAATAAGGGGCTAATATCCAAAATATATAGAGAACACATACAACTCAACTACAAAAAAACAAATAATCCAATTTTAAAAATGGGCTGAGGACCTGAACAGACACTTCTCCCAGGAAGATATGCAGATGGCCAACAAATATATGAAAAGATGCTCAACTTCCCTAGCTATAGGGAAATGCAAATCAAAACCACAGTGAGACACCACCTCACACCTGTTAGAATGCTATTGTCAACAAGATGAGACAGAGCAAGCGCTGGAGAGGTGGTGGAGAAAAAGGACCCTCACTCACTGCTGGTGGGAATGTAGACTGGTACAGCCACTGTGGAAAACCGTATGGAGGAGCCTCAAAAAACTAAGACTAGAGCTACCATGTGACTGGCAATACCTCTTCTGGACATCTACGTGAAAAATTTGAAAACATTTACTTGTAAATATATGAACATCTATGTTCATTGCAGCATTATTCACGGTGGCCAAGACCTGGAAATAACTGAAGTGTCCTCCAGTGGACGGCGGGATAAAGCAGGTGTGGCCCATGTACACTGTGGAGTACCACTCGGCCGTAGGAAAGGATGGGTGTCACCGCCATTTGTGACAACATGGGTGGACCTTGAGAGTATCATGCTAAGAGACATCAGTCAAACGGAAAAAACAACCACCATATGATTTCACTCATATGTGTGACATAAAACAGAAAGAAACAAATGAACAAACAAACAAAAATTCATAAATATAACAACAGGATGGTGGCCACCAGAGGGGAAGGAGGTGAGAGGAGGCAGAAGACGGCAAAGAGGACTGAATATATGGTGACGGAAGGAGACCCAGCTTTGGGTGGCGAGCACACCGTGAAGTACACAGGTGATGTGCTATAGAATTGTACACTTGAAACTTTCATAATCTTATTAACCACTGTCACCTCAACAAATTTAATAAAATTTTTAAAAAACATTATGCTGGGGCAATAGGCAAGTAACAGGACTGTCTGGGAAACGAGGAAATTACAGGCCATCCCACTAACACAGGAATCAGCAAGCAGTGGGTTTGTTCACAAGGAGTGAAGGTAATTAGGGCTGGGTTATCAAGGACTTTGTCTCAAAGTAAGGGCGTGGCATAATCAGGCCACCAGTGGAAGTTAGACTGACGGGAGTGGGACTGGTGGCAGTGAGATGTGCCTGAACCAGTCTGGTGGAACCAGAGAGAGAGGTGAGGGCTGAGACGCGGAAGCCACTTGGAGAAGGGTGAAGACTGAAGTGAGCAACACACGTGGGTCTAGAAACACATTTGGGAGAGCTATACAGATAAGAAAGGTTTTTCTCTGCTTATACCCCTTGGGTCCCTCAGAGAGCCCAGCCCAGGGCCTGCCTGTCCGCAGAGGGATGTGCTCAGTGACCATGCCCTGGAAAAGTTCCCCATAGCCGTGAACTGAGACCAGTCCCTTCCTTTGTGCTCTCCCTTTGTGGCTGCTCCCAGCTGGACTGACTTCCTGGGTGCTGCTGCTGAGTCAGGAGCTTTTTCCCCAGAAGACAGAGGGGTGGGACACCAGTGGCTTGTCCTTCCTTTGTTCCATAAAAGCTGCTTGGGGCTGTGCCCCAGGAACACCCCGCTGACACAATCAATGCAGCAGGACATGGGTCCACGGGAACAGCAGCAGTGATAACCACAGCCAGATGTTTTACAAGTACTTCAGCAGCCCTACATGGCAGATACTACCATCAGCCACATGTTATGGTTGGAGAAGCTGGAGCGCAGAGAGCTCGGTACCTGGCCCAAGGCCACACAGCAAATCCTGGTGGAGATGAGATTAGACCTCAGGCAGTCTGATCCTACGATACCATCTGGGATCAGGGCAGTGCTCTGTGTGCATCGGGACTTCCAAGTGGCTGAGAGGGAGCCGGACCTGGGCCAGCACCTCAGCACTACTTGTGCTGTTACTTTTCTGAGACTTCATGTCTTCATCAGGGCATAAGGATATTGACTTTACAGGGTTGCTGGGAGGATTAAATGAAACAGAGCAGTTTTTCCTAAAGCATATTTTGCCAAATACTAGTTCTATGGGAGTTGAGTAGGTATTTTGTGAGAAAAATAAAAGGAGGGGTGGTGGTTCTTCAGCCAAATACATTTGGGAAATACAGAGGTCAACTTAAACAGGCTTCCTCTCTATAAGACTTCTCAAAGGCTTGATTACTGCAGTGTGCGCTGGAAATCTCAAGAAAAGAAGGGAGTATGCAGTAGTTCTCACATGCATGTGTCCACAGAAAGCTTTCACAAGGAGCACTTAAGGGTTTAGTGGTCCAGCAAAAAACCCCTGAAAAACCACAACAATGTACACAGGCTGCCTGTCACAGAGGAAGCCATCAATCAGTGGTGTCTGAAGTTGTCACCGCTTCTATTATTGCTTTAGTTACCGTGGGCAGAGCAGAGCCAGTCAGGAGGGCTGGGAGCTGGCGAGGCTTACCTGGCGGACAGCCCCCACCATCTCAGCCCGGCTGGAGAGGCGGGCAGCTAGGCGGTGCAGGACAGCGATGTCCTCCAGCAGCTTCTGATAGGTCTCCCGGTGCTCACAGTGGTGCCAGAGTGAAGCTGAAGACTGAGAAGTGAGAAGGAACATCACCCAGGGTCCTCACAGGATGGGCCCTGGTCCCCATCCTGTCTGAGGAGCGGCCTCTGCAGGGCCAGGGCTACAGCTTCTTCTGGGGATTGGAGAAACCCAATGTGGACACTCTGTACTTGGTTGGCCTAAAAGAAGGGAATCACATCCGGGTCTCTGGTTCCCAAGGAGCTCCCTTTGCCATCCCAGGTCACCCAGACCCCTCCTGAGAAGCTCACAAGGGCTCAGAGGCCTTACCCACAGCCCTGAGGTCACCAGGCCTCCAGGATCTTTGCTCCTCCCAGCATTCTCAGGAAGGCTGTCTGGCTCAGGGCCTTGGCCTGATTCCTCATTTCAGGAGACTCTACTTGGTGACTGAGAAAAGCAGGATGCCCAGCAGAACCCTTGGAGACAGCCCCTCCTTCAAGGATTCCACAATTACCGTGATGGAAGCTTTGAAGTTTTCCAGTTCCTTCTCGGTGTCCTCTTCTGTCAGGTTGCGTTCCCTTTCAGCCTGGTTAATTCTAGATTCCAGGGTATAGCTGTCATTTCTAAAGGCCAAGGACAGTTGTACAAACACGTTCTGTTGGGAACAAGAGTGTGGAAGAGGTGCTAGGAGGAGTTATTGCAGGGAACACGGCTGCAGGTGTGTTTCTTGCATGAGCATTTTACATCAGCTCCTGGAACCGGTCACCAAAGCAGCCAACTACACAAAGGGGTGAACTAGTGACACGAGGTCCATGCAAGGTCCTTCCCAGGACCAGAGCATTTTACTGAGGAATAATAAGAGAATAACACTTTGCTTTTCCCTGAACTTCCAGAAAATAACATCCTGTATTTGGGTTTAGATAAACTTGGGCCAACACAGCTGATTGTGTAAGCAGTTTGGATTCACACTAGGATTTATTACATGTGGGTTTTGGAGGTTTCTCATGAAACCACTGTAAAGAAAATTTGAGATGTAAGCCGGGTTGACTTAAAGCAAACTTCAAGCAGCATCTCGCGTGAGTGTTCCAAATTGTCCACTGAAAGCAGCTGTAAGAGCTGCCAGAGATGACATAAGGCCAGGTATGATCCCGTCAGGAGAAGCTCTGTGGAACAAACATTCCATGCCAAAAACACAGCCTGCATTAATGAACTTTGAAAGGTGGTACTGATCAGACATGGAATTCCTGGAATAATAGGAAACTACTGGGGAGGAGAAATAGACAGATGGACTACACAGGAGGGAAGCTGTGGTCTTCGTTTTACAGCTTTCATTGCCCTGCCCGAGTCAAGTGGTAGCAGATTTATACCATTGGGGTGAGATAACTCTGCCTGAGCTTCTGAAGTTCGTGTAACAAGGCCCACAGTGGGCAGAAATCTCCAGACAGAGGACTGGAGGCCCTGAGCTGACTCAGTGATGATGATGATGGCAATATTGAAAGCTACTCCTCATTGAGCATCTACCACATGCCAGCAATGCTATGAGTTTTATGCACCTAAGCTCATTTACTCCCACAAAACCACCTCTTTAGGAACTGCTGTATCTATACATGGGTAGAGACCAAGACCAGAGAGGCCATTCACTTGTTCAAGGTGAGACAGAGTCGCAGAGCCAGGATGAAACCTGTCTGATTCCAAAGGCCATGCTGCTTTGGCCATGCTGAGTACGGAGCATGTGAGTATACATCTGAGGACAGGAGCTGGCCCTCGAGACCTACCATGGCCCGTCTTCAACAGCATCAGTGCGTGAGATTCTCTTTCCTGCCCAAGCCTCAGTCCAGTCCAGTTTATCAATAATGCTCAATGTTTGATTCTCTATACCTGGGTTAGTCCCTCAATGAAAGTGTAAATAAAACCCAGAAAGCCCAGGCTTCATAATCTCACAAAGCACTGGAGTTACTTACCTCAACTTCCTTTTCAGTGAGTGGAGGGGCACTGTGAAAAAGAAAAGACATGCAGATGAATTTTACCCAGCCTATGCAATGAACAAAAAGGTGACTTTCAATGACCAGCAGAGCTTGGGTTTCCTAAAATGGAGTAAGGGAAAGATTCAGGGTATACTTTGTATGATCTCTGTAATCTCTGAGATGTTCTGCCAGATATTGACTCCTACAGAGGAAATGTGGTGGAAAATATTAGATCCTGGGGTCAGTCCTCCATCAGTGCCTCTACTAGCTGTGACTTTGGACAAGTTATTTTAATCTCTCTCTGTTTGCTCATCTGTAAAATGGGAATAATATGTCTTACAGGAGTTTTATAAGCAATATATGTTTGTATGTACATATGTACGTGTAAATGTCTATGTACATACATATGTATATATATTCACATATACATGCCATCCACACTCAGTAGGCACTCAGATGTTAGCTCTTATGACTCATTCACAGGTTTGTTTTGAGGACTTACTAAGAAAATGCATGTGCTACATACTTTATAAACTGTACACATCTGAGCAGCCATTATTTTTTCGGGGCTATTCAGGTCCACAAAGCCTGACCCTCCTGTCTCTGAGGATTGTGACAAGGTGCACGTGGGCCAAAGAATAAAAGGTAGGAAAGAGTAGCCAGAGCTCTTCTCCACAGTGAGAACTGCTTCTGATAGCTGGAATCAGAGATCGAGCAAGAAAGTCCCAGCTAGCACGGCGGTGTTATTCCGAGAGGTTCCTCGTCATGTGTGGTTCCCACAGCAAGCAGTCCTTTTATCTGCACGCTCACTGTGTTGCTGCTGCCAGTCCTGCTGGTAACTAAAGCTACCCCTGTTCTGAAACCCGGACAATGTAAATAATGCACAGGCCCTTTCCTGTGCTGGGGTGGGAGGACTGGGAGAGGTTCTATCAGTGTCATAGGACTTGGCAACAGAGCGTACCATCGATAAGACTCTCAGGAAACACAGCTTCCTCCCTTTGACAGGTGCGGAGGGACCCCAAGAGCAAAGGTAGGGGTCAGCTATCTCTGCAAGGGACTGGTTCTCACCCCAACAAGGAACTGTGAGAGCCTTCCTGTCAGGATGAGGCAACAAGACCCCATGGCCAGCAAGTCAGCAGAGTATAGAGCATGCGATAAACAACTGCAAAGATGTTTAATGCTTACAATTTTTGTCACCACCCTACCCATCAGGCCCTTTCTGCTGTGGGTTAGTCAACATAATCTTCTAGAGCATGCACAATTTGCTTAAATGATTTATCAAAACCCACTGAGCTTGCTTTTGATTCCTGGCTTTGTGTGAAATTTACATATTTTTATCACTTATTAACTAAACTTATTTTTCTATTTTGATGACTCATTTTTCACTTTTTTGCTATAGAATACACTTTTCCAAAAAATGTACAAAACCATGTGACAGATATAGCCAGCTCCTGATGCAGAGCTATGCTTTGTAAACTGGCGTAGGCAAGTAGAGGGCAGAGCCTTGGGCCTCCAAAAGGACAGAGGCTTGCAAGTGACATACAAGGAGACCATTCTGGATGGCATTGCCTACCTCAGAATTCAAACTCCCTTAATAGGCATTAGAATAAAATCAAGGCCCTCTGTGAACCAGCCCCTCCAGCCTCATTGACCATTCTGCTCCTCAAACACACTCATTGTAGCCCCAGGGCCTTTGCAGTTACTGTTCTTTCCTTTTTTCCACTCTCTTTTGTAATAACTTTATTGGAATATAATTCACATACTATACAATTTACAATTCAGTAGTTTTTAGTATATTCACAGACTTTTATAACCATCATTACAGTCAATTTTAGAATGTTTTCATTACCCCAAAAAGAAACCCTGTACCCATTAATTAACAGTCACTCTCCATCCTTCCCAAACCCCCATCCCCAGCCCTAGGCAATCACGAATCCACTTTTCCTGCTCTATGGATTTCCCTATTCTGAATATTTCTTATCAATGGAATCATACAACATGTGGTCTTCTGTGACTGGCTTCTTTCACTTAGCATAATGCTTTCAAGGTTCATCCTCATTGTCGCATATATATCAGTATTTTATTTTTGTGGCTGAATAATATTCCATTGTATGAATATATCACATTTTGTTTATCCATTCATCAGTTGATGACTATTTACGTTGTGTCTACTTTTTGGCTATCATGAAAGTGCTGTTACTGAACATTTATGTACAAGTTTTCGTGTGGATATATGTTTTCATTTCTCTTTGTTACATACATAGGAGTGGAATTGCTGGGCTATGTTGGTAACTGTTTAAGTTCTTAAAGAACTGCCAGACTGTTATTCCAAAGGGGCTGCACCATTTTACTGAAGATTCCAAGTCCTTCACATTTTATTGTTCATCTTTTTTAGTATAACCATTCTAGTGGATGTAAAACGGTATCTCAATATCATTTTGATTTACATTTTCCTAATGACTAATAATGGTGAGCATCTTTTCATGTGCTTATTGACTCTTCATATACATTCTTTGAAGAAATGTCTACTTAAACCCTTTGCCCATTAAAAAAAAGTTTTGGTTTTCTTTTTATCGAATTATAAGAGTTTTTTATATATTATGGAAACAAGTCCTTTATCAGATACATGATTTGCAAATACTTTCTTCCATTCTGTGGGTTGTCTTCTCACTTACTTGATGGTATTGTTTGCATTACAAAAGTTTAGTGAAATACTATTTATCTATTTTTTTTCTCTTGTTGCTTGTGCTGTTGGTGTCATATCTAAGAAACCCTAAACTAATCACAAAGATTTGCTCTTATATTTTCTTTTAACAGTTTAAAGCATTAGCTCTTACATTTGGGCCTATGATCCATTTCAAGTTAATTTTTGTGTATTGTGTGAGGTAGGGTTCAATTTTATTCTTTTACATGTGGCTATACAGTCATCCCAGAATGATTCGTTGAAATTACTGTACTTTTTGTCTGGAAATTTCTTCCCCGAAACCTATGCATGGATAACTTCTTTTTGTCATTTGTATGTCTCAGCTTAATTACTACTTTATCATAAAGGCCTTCTTTGACCCTCTACCCAACGTTCCATTCCCATGTCTTTCTCAATATGTGCCCCTAACAGCTTTGCTATCTGAAATCATTCATGTTACTTAAATATAATTTGTCTCCCTACCCAGAATGTAAGTGCCATGAGAACAGGGACTGTGTCTTCCTGTTCTCCATTCTGTCTGGCACATAATGGGCACTCAATGAATATTTGTTGATTAAATGCCTGTTTATTGCTCTTGCTGGTGTTTGACCCTGGGATGCCTTACCCACTGACATCTCCTCTTTGCACTCTTGTCAACCAACCACTGACTATGTCCCTAGTTTGGGTTCTAGACCTGGTTTTTCTACGGAATCCATTCAGTTTGCTGACCCTATGAGCTCCTTCCTGGTATGGTTCAATACCAATTCACTAATTCACATAGAACATGAAATAAACTCCTTCTGCATATTAAAACTCAAGGGTAATCTTTCCGTATTTCTGCTGGGGAAAGGAATCTTGAAGCTCTGGCTTCCTTTTTTTGGATGACATCATACATGACAGTTTATCTGTATCTCCCAAATGCCAAACAGGGAGTTCTGGGCCCAACCAAGGGCCCAGCCAAAGGCCCACCAAGGGCCCAACCAAAGGCCCAACCAAGGGCCCAACCAAGGGCCCAACCAAGGGCCCAATTTGGAAATAGCCTCTACTGAGGCCTGAAACAGGGAGGCTGATTTAGTGGTTGGGGCAGGGAAACTGGCGATGGGCAACATGGCTATTGACATAATGCATGAGAGACACTGACCCCAATCTGACAGCCTGGACCACATGCCTCCAAAGCTGACCTTATGCGTTGACCATGAAAGCTCAGTCTGATCTCATGGTGGGGAGCTAGTAGCTGTTAACTCTCTCAAGGATGGTGGAACTACTCAGTTTCCCTTTCCTGGGGAAGCTGGGGAAATTTAATTGGTCAAAGGTGGGCCCTAATCATATTATCTTCACCTTTACAGAGGAAAAAGAAGCCAGTAACACTCCTGAACAGCCTTGTTCCTTGCAGACTGATGAGCACTGGTGATTGTTTTGTTACTTTTGACAGGCCTCTGGTATAGCTGGAAAGGCAAATCAGTCCACCCTGAATCTGATTCCTGACTCCGTCACCTGCCAAGCATGTTGCTTCGCTTCTCTGTTCTCACTGAAGATAAACACAATAAAATCTTCCTTTTCCGCTTCACTGGGTTGTCATAAACACCAAAAGACACACAGCATGTGAACTTACGCTCTGTAACCTGCAGTACACTTGGGGTGCTTCTCCTTTGGTTCTCTGTCTCTGGGCACCCCTCTCTGCCTTTCCACCAGGTAAAGTGGCTAATGCAAGCCCTCTTCCAGCTGTGAATTCAGCCCACTTCTGACTTGTTTCTAGCCCCTTTCTCGAAGTTGGTTTAGTTGCTGGGTATTGCCCTGAGTATTGCCCTGACGGCTCTGTTTCAGATGATTACAGTGTGGAATTCAAACACATGACACCCAATGGGCAAAACTTGTTTTCCTCTCATATTTACCTTCCCTAAATCGGGAAGCTCTCTTATGTCTGCTAGCTCCTCCTAATGGCCTTTGTCCCCAACAGCTTAGTCCCCAGGTTGCTGGGCTGGGTGGGAGGCCTCGTTTGCTGGCACCCACCCTATTGCTTAGTGGTACTCTATTTTCTCTCCTTTATACTCTAAATCGTTCACTTTTCAACCCAGTTATCAAGGGCCTGTGATGTGCTGATAAAATCCTAAGTCCCGGCTCACACACCATCTCATTTAGCTACCAATGACAGATCCCTGTTGTATAGGTGGGGAGGCCGAGGCTTGGGAAGTGAAGCCACTTTCTCCACATGTGTGGAAGAGCCTGGTAGGTTTCCCAGGAAATCCTTCATGTGGTTCCAAATGTTCTACCTCTCTGTCTATGCAGATATCAAACCTAGAATCTCTGGGTTAAAAATAAATGGAAGAGCTGGGATTAAAACCATGTCTCCTGGCTCAAAGCCCACCACCCTCTGCTGTCATGAGTCTCTTGGTGGCCCTTGTGCGTACCTAGGAACCCCACCTACTCTCTCAGTTGGAACCACCCTACCTGGCCCTTTATTCCTCTTTTTGTTTTAGATGCATTTGCCCTGTTTGGACCATTGGATTCTGACCTGTATGGGGTCCAAAATCAAGGCTGATGTACTTCTGTGTCCCATCTAGAATCTAACATGGGCCACCTAATACAGGTCTCCTGCTACGCATGCCCTGGTTTTACCTTCCAGGGAGAGACTTGTGGACCCGCAGTTTGCGCAGCAGCACATCAGAAATATTGGGCATGACGTCCAAGCCACTCTTTGGCTCCTCCTCCTCCATAGCTGGGGAGAGTTCAGAAGGCAGCCCTAAAAGAAAAAAAGTGCTTAACTTATAAAATGTCTGTGTGAAATTGCAGTAGTACTGTTGGCAACTTGCTTCAATGGATAGAAAGAACTTTAACATTCGTAAGAACCTGATTATATTCCAGGGGCTTTATAATTGCTATTTTATCCTTATAATGACTCAGTAAGCTAGAACTTAATTTTCTCATTGTACAGGTGGGAAAACCAAGACTCAGCAAGGTTAAGAACTTGCTCAAGGTCACAGAGCTAGTAAGTGGCATAGGCAGACTTCAAACCAATTCTGTCTGCTCTGAATTCTGTGTCCTTCCCATTGTTTCCCAAAGTACCAAGCAGGCTCTTGTGTCTGGGGTCAAACATTGGTTTCTGGCAACTGGAAGCTGGTTGATTATTTGGTATAATGTTTATGAAAGCCCCCTCTCTTTAGCAGGTTTTTCAGGAGGCCTGTTGCCTAATTATTCTTCCTCAAAGGAATTCAACACTTCAATCATCTGTGGCCTACTAGAAACCAGCATCTGGTTCCATATCCCCATAAATAGGAATAGAAACAGGACTTTTCCAGGGTAAATCTAAGGTCATTAGGTCTTTTAAAGATCTCAGAAATAAATGCCTCATAGTCAAATGAATAAAGGAACAGGTTTTTGCTATCTCCTAAGACTATCTGGGGTCTTGCTCTGAAGGCAGAAAGAACAAATGAAATATTTTCTCTCATAAATCTTTCTCCAGTTTGAAGACAGTTCTTTTACCTCTCCCAAAGTTTTCTTTCTTGAGGCAGTAGCCCCATTTTCCCAACTGCTTGCTGTGGTCCGCCGTAGCCCATGGCTTCTAGATACCATCCCCAGCCGGCACACGTTCTGATTATTGCTGTCTCAGAGGCCCAGATGTGCTCTTACATGATCTTAGCTCAGGAGGACATTGGTACATGTCCCTGACATTCCCATTTGTTATTCATGCAGCATAGACTTGGTGTGTCTTACTATGGGTTCACAGTACATTTAGGACTAAAAGCCTCGTATCTCTTTTACTTGAGCCAGATCAGGTATCTTCAACCCATACCATGGTTACTTTGCATTTGCATGGAGGACTTTATAGCTATATGTTTTACCATCTCTAATGGGTTTTGACCCAGAAGAATTCTAACCTGCTCAGCCATTTTCCAGAATTGTAGGCCAGGCCAGAGATCAGGACTATAGGCATAGTTGTGGCGGCATCCAAATGGAGCTAAGATTGGGAGTCAGGTGAATTAGAAGCCTCACCAAGGGAGACCATGCTGAGAGGAGGAGGTGTAGTTTGGCTCAAGATAAAGAGTGCTTAAATACTTCGAGATTTCCAGTAACAGAGTGGTGTTCATGAGTTTCCTGGTACCCAAAGTATCCTGGCAAAGTCTGAAGGGCCATTTGTTAGAGATGGGGAAGTCAGTGATCCATCTTGACTATAAGATTGGACCAGATATTCTCTTAGCTACCTGTCACCTCTTGGGCTCTGTCCTGGCATTTACTGCTCTCTGACATTTCCATGTGACAGATGGTAAATCCTGTGGCGCTTCTGGCCTCACTCTGGCAACACCCAGCTGAGAGATAATTAAGCAATGGGCTCCTGAGCAATCTATATGATTAATTGAACCACATCAAGGTCTAATAATCAAGTGAAAGTTATACCAGGGGCTTTTTCCTAAAAAAATGCCCTGGGTTAAGCACCCTCCACTGAAATGGCTGAAGAGTGATTCTAGAACTGATGGACCTGAGGACCAGCCAACTTCTTCCTAAACTCAACCAAATTAACAACAACAAATTTTAAAATCAACCAAAAATATACCCCCCACTCTCAAAAACAGAAAAAGGCAATAATCTTTAAAAATAATGGCCAGAGAAAGACAAAGCTTATTAGAAATAAACATAAAGCTCCCACCCTTGGTAACCCTTTCTTCTCTCTTTCTCAAAGCCTGGCACCGAGAGGAAGATGTGAGAGGGAAGATGCTGGCGGGGCGCTGTGCCATGGAGCAGGAGGGGCAGTGGAGCGAGGAGGTGAGCAGGCCGCCCGCAGGGGGGCTCAGAACGTTCTCTGGAGTGGAACGATCGTGGAACGACCCATGGCACCGTAATGACACTCCGCCCAGAGAAAAAACTGCCTTGCTGCTCTTCTCTTTTCTTCACAAGGAGGAGCGGAAAGGAAAGGCAGGAAAAAAAAAAAGACTGCACTGTAGTCTACCAGAACTGATTATGTAGAACAATATGGAGGGATTTCCCAGAAAGGAAAATGAAGAGAAAATAAATAAAACAAGCTTCTCCGATGGAGTGAGACACGTGGAAAACCCCAATAGAAGCTGCTCCCCACCCCCCACAACTTCTGAGAAATAGCACAGTGGCCAAACTCCTCGGAACTTGTCTCTTTTCCTTCCTTTACCTGACAGGATAGTGAGAGTGGCTTCGGGAAATCGTTGGCTCAAATCTGGGGAATAAATACCTGAGTAGATTGTCTCTATAATTCTGCCCTGAATTGGTGAGAGTCCATAACTCGCTACTCCCCACTAAGGGAATAAGATAGGCCCCCACTTTGGTATAACAAACCCAAGTGTTGGGTGATGAACAAAGTTAGAAAAAGAGCAGAAGCCGATCCCACAAACACCACTACACACAGCTCCTCCCGAACTTCCCCTTTCCCCACCATCCAAGCAGCAGCAAAGCAGACACAGCACCCGGTCCTCAGCTAGGAGCTGCTGGAAGGACAGAGATCTCAGGTGGGGTGGGAAGGAGTCAGTGAAAACTGGCCCACGCAATATTCCTAGGTAAAGAGAAAATCCAGGTAGAAATGCCCATGGAAAAAGAAATGCAATGAAAACAGACAGCATGGCAACTGTATCAAAACACTATATAGTGAAAATAGGAAGGAAAAAAGGAAGGAAGGTTTAAAGGAAAGAAAGGAAACACGCAGGAGACAGATGTCAGGATAAAAACAGAGGCAACAAGCAGCGAAAATGCATCTTTGTGCAAAATGTATACCACAAATTCTTTGACTTGTGGAAAAAATAGAACCTGGGGGGGGG